AGCTATTTACCGTCCACACTTAGTGTGGTCCAAGAACACACACTCAGCACGAGCCCATAGCAATACTAGACTGCATTTCTGAACTTCAGTGAGAAAATTGCGCAGCAAAGTCACTGACTTCTGGTTGCGCCGCAGCTATATAGAGCTAAGGTGTGCCGGCCGGCATGCCGCGCAAGTGTAATGCGCATGCGCTGTAGCCTTGCAGAAAGGGGTGGGTCTGCAGCGGCCTCTCCGCGAGAGCCATGGGGTGCTGTGTGTCCAGGCGTGAAGAGAGGAGAGACAGTAAGCCTCTTGCAGAGTCCAGACCCAAACACAGCTGGTAAAAAAACAAAGAGGGTGCCGCTAAATGAAACAGTACGTGCGGTGGAGATCTTTTGGCTGAAACCCGTATTATACATAGCTATATCTAGAGTGGGCAAAATTGTGGCTCTTTCTTCTTATTACCTAGAACTATCTTACATCACACTCCCCTGCCTTAAATAGTCCAATCTAAGATGCATGTGGAGATGAACTGAATTGACAATGTGCCAATGATGGGTGTCATAGCTCGTATAATAAATAGGCTCTATAGGCAGAATGCATTTCATCTTGGTTCTATGATACCAAAAAACGGCATGGTGCACTCGACTATATTTAGTATAGCTACTCTTGGTTTGCTATCCATGATTGAAGGGAAAATATAAAACGCCCCAATCGAAGCCAGCTCATCATCTCAGGCCAAGTGGGTGTGGCTGTTTGTCGGTTGCCGGGGCAACTGAGTGGTCGTCAGTTCCACATCCAGGACTGCAGGCAGTGTGAGATCTTTGTCCTGGACAACACCAGTTCCCTCACCATCCATGGCTGCACTGACTGCACCTTGGTTCTGGGGCCATGTGGAGGCAGGTATATATATATACACGGCTATGACACTGTAATGAGGTATAACAATAACGAGTGCATCACAGTTTTGGCAAGCGTGAAAGAGCAAGTAGTTCAATTTTTCACGAGCGTATTTTTAATTGCGTAGAAAATTACTGTATGTGCAGTGCCCGTCACTCAGACGACTAGGTAGACTTGCTTCACTCGCCAATAAACTGGTAAAAGATGACAAGAATTTTGTTCAACTGTTAAAGTGTACCAATGCTCTATGGACTCTTATGCCGGCACCAGAATTTTGTAGGCTTACCTTTACTTTACTTTATGCCCCACTTCTATATATTAAGTGCTCAGAAGAAAAACTTCTAGAGAACGTGAGCATAGGTTTGCGGATTCATCTGTACTAGCAATTCACACTAATGACCCATTATGATACTTGCGTAAAAGCTATGAGTTGTGTATTGCATAATTCATATTTTAAAGGATTATTTGTGTGTGGTACTTTCAAACATGTTTCATCCAAAACGTCTCCCACTATCACTCTGTGCACAGTGTGTTTGTGAAGCAGTGTGGGGGCTGTACGGTGGTAGTGGCATGTCAGCAGTTCAGAGCCAGGGACTGCCGGAAGTGTACAGTCTACCTCCACTGCAAGAGCCAGCCGGTCATTGAGTCCAGTCACAGGCTCAGGTTTAGCTGCTTCCAGGCCTACTAAACCCTCTCACTAATAATAAAAGAAGTCAGTCAATATAGCTAATATTAACAAAACTAAACTAACGGTAACTAAAGCGCAACAGTGTTGGTTTGGCTAGGATAAACTGTGTCGGTAGTTTGTGAAAGTTTTTACCATAATTATTATAACTTTAACCCTCTCAAGATGAAAAAGTAAATTCACAGACTTATAAGCACTTTCAAGTGATCTACTAGCTAGTTCCCTACACTGGTCCAAAATACCAATTTCCTATACGGAAGCAGTGTAGGATTAGTGTAGTACAGGCAGAACCTAAATATCCTGGTAGGATAAGTGACGGATTGGTGTTGTTCACGCAGGACCTAAATTTCCTCTACCAAGGATTGGTGTGGTTCATGCAGGACCTAAATTTCCTCTACCAAGGATTGGTGTGGTGTCATGCAGGACCTAAACTTTCCTCTACCAGGATTGGTGTGGTTCATGCAGGACCTAAATTTCCTCTACCAGGATTGGTGTTGTTCATGCAGGACCTAAATTTCCTCTACCAAGGATTGGTGTTGTTCATGCAGGACCCAAATTTCCTCTACCAGGATTGGTGTGGTTCATGCAGGACCTAAATTTCCTCTACCAAGATTGGTGTTGTTCATGCAGGACCTAAATTGCCTCTACCAAGGATTGGTGTTTGTTCACGCAGGACCTAAATTTCCTCTACCAAGGATTGGTGTGGTTCATGCAGGACCTAAATTTCCTCTACCAAGGATTGGTGTGGTTCATGCAGGACCTAAATTTCCTCTACCAGGATTGGTGTGGTTCATGCAGGACCTAAATTTCCTCTACCAGGATTGGTGTGGTTCAGGCAGGACTAAATTTCCTCTACCAGGATTGGTGTGGTTCATGCAGGACCTAAATTTCCTCTACCAGGATTGTGGTGTTGTTCATGCAGGACCTAAATTTCCTCTACCAAGGATTGGTGTTGTTCATGCAGGACCTAAATTTCCTCTACCAGGATTGGTGTGGTTCATGCAGGACCTAAATTTCCTCTACCAGGATTGGTGTTGTTCATGCAGGACCTAAATTTCCTCTACCAAGGATTGGTGTTGTTCACGCAGGACCTAAATTTCCTCTACCAAGGATTGGTGTGGTTCATGCAGGACCTAAATTTCCTCTACCAAGGATTGGTGTGGTTCATGCAGGACCTAAATTTCCTCTACCAGGATTGGTGTGGTTCATGCAGGACCTAAATTTCCTCTACCAAGGATTGGTGTGGTTCATGCAGGACCTAAATTTCCTCTACCAAGGATTGGTGTGGTTCATGCAGGACCTAAATTTCCTCTACCAGGATTGGTGTGGTTCATGCAGGACCTAAATTTCCTCTACCAGGATTGGTGTTGTTCATGCAGGACCTAAATTTCCTCTACCAAGGATTGGTGTGGTTCATGCAGGACCTAAATATCCTCTACCAAGGATTGGTGTGGTTCATGCAGGACCTAAATTTCCTCTACCTACGATTGGTGTGGTTCATGCAGGACCTAAATTTCCTCTACCAAGAATTGATGTGGTTCATACAGGACCTAAATTTCCTCTACCTACGATTGGTGTGGTTCATGCAGGACCTAAATTTCCTCTACCAGGATTGGTGTGGTTCATGCAGGACCTAAATTTCCTCTACCAGGATTGGTGTGGTTCATGCAGGACCTACATTTCCTCTACCAGGATTGGTGTGGTTCATGCAGGATAAGTGACGGATTGGTGTGGTTCATGCAGGACCTAAATTTCCTCTACCAGGATTGGTGTGGTTCATGCAGGACCTAAATTTCCTCTACCAAGGATTGGTGTGGTTCATGCAGGACCTAAATATCCTCTACCAAGGATTGGTGTGGTTCATGCAGGACCTAAATTTCCTCTACCAGGATTGGTATGGTTCATGCAGGACCTACATTTCCTCTACCAAGAATTGATGTGGTTCATACAGGACCTAAATTTCCTCTACCTACGATTGGTGTGGTTCATGCAGGACCTAAATTTCCTCTACCAGGATTGGTGTGGTTCATGCAGGACCTAAATTTCCTCTACCAGGATTGGTGTGGTTCATGCAGGACCTATATTTCCTCTACCAAGAATTTATGTGGTTCATGCAGGACCTAAATTTCCTCTACCAGGATTGGTGTGGTTCATGCAGGACCTAAATTTCCTCTACCTAGGATTGGTGTGGTTCATGCAGGACCTACATTTCCTCTACCTATGATTGGTGTGGTTCATGCAGGACCTAAATTTCCTCTACCTATGATTGGTGTGGTTCATGTAGGACCTAAATATATTCTACCAAGGATTGGTGTGGTTCACACAAGCAGTAAATGCTGTGACACACTGAGGATATACTGCCAGTTTACCACTATCCAGTTTCCTTAACCTAAACTGTCCAGTAAATGTTCGGTATACTATACTTGTAGTCTACTGTAGATATACATGGATGTAAATATCGAGTAGAACAATGCCTACAGTAAAACATTCTGAAATGATGTCATGATAAATGCAACAGTCACACACATCACACACTACATATATTGTCAGCATTGTGAGATGTTCCCATAGCCGATCTAATGAGACATCACTTGCTTTAACACAACATCATGTATTTCAAATCTTTTTGTTTTTCGTTGTCTCTTCTGTCTTTTGCGCTTCTTTCTCTTCATCTCCATGCTTGGTCGTCCCATTTATACTCAAAAACATGTAATAGAGGATATATAGCACAATGAGCAACAAAGCATAAGAGTAAAATAATTATTGTGAATACTACAACCATACAGCCACAAAGCCCAACATATCAGACTGACAACCATAGGGTCACAAAGCCCAACATATCAGACTGACAGCCGTACGGCCACAAAGCCCAACATATCAGACTGACAGCCGCACAGCCACAAAGCCCAACATATCAGACTGACAGCCGCACGGCCACAAAGCCCAACATATCAGACTGACAGCCGCACGGCCACAAAGCCCAACATATCAGACTGACAGCCGCACGGCCACAAAGCCCAACATATCAGACTGACAGCCGCACGGCCACAAAGCCCAACATATCAGATTGACAGCCGCACGGCCACAAAGCCCAACATCAGACTGACAGCCGCACGGCCACAAAGCCCAACATATCAGACTGACAGCCGCACGGCCACAAAGCCCAACATATCAGACTGACAGCCGCACGGCCACAAAGCCCAACATATCAGATGACAGCCACACGGCCACAAAGCCCAACATATCAGACTGACAGCCGCACGGCCACAAAGCCCAACATATCAGACTGACAGCCGCACGGCCACAAAGCCCAACATCAGACTGACAGCCGCACGGCCACAAAGCCCAACATATCAGGCTGACAGCCGCACGGCCACAAAGCCCAACATATCAGATTGACAGCCACACGGCCACAAAGCCCAACATCAGACTGACAGCCGCACGGCCACAAAGCCCAACATATAAGATTTCACCTTTATAATATCTGGATTGCTGGCGTACAAAGAAACAGAAGCCAAACCAGACAGTTGGGAGACAGAGTGACATGTAGCAGAGGATGTGGAGGAGTTAGCTAATAATACGGGGGACAACTCCTGTAGCCAATGAATACACATCATGCATAACCGGCGGCGTACTCTGGACCCGACTTCGCCCACGTCACAATTATCTGCACTCTGAGGCCACCATAATATAAAAGGGCCCCCAGACTACTCTTTTCTCATAGTCTCGCGAAAACTTGAGCTTTTAAAAGAATGAAATCCTCTCTGCTTATCTCCGCCGCTCTACTACTGCTCGGCACTGTCGTAGCGGAAGACGCAGGGCTCCAGAAGAAACAGGAAGGTGGCGATCAGTGCCTAAACACGCAAGTGACGAACTGTCAGAATGCACTGAACTCGAAGGATAACGAAAGGTTCTGCGACGGCAACTGCGAGGAGGTGTTGGGAGAGTATTACAAGTGCCAGGGATTTGACACGTTCGTCATACAACGAGACGAGGAGTGCGGCACTGCGGGGACCACCGTGGGATCTGCTGTATTAGTATCGGCACTTCTGACCGCTCTGGTTGCTACCCTCAGTTAACTGTGCTAGTGACAGTATTACTCTGTTTGTTGTATTCTATGGAGGATGCACTAAAACTCATTTTATGTAGAGCTTGATTTTTTTCATTGCTAGCTACGTAGCTAATTGTCGTCGAGAAGCCTACGGGTTCAGTGTTATAATTAGCTATCTTACTATAAATGTCACTGCCGTGGAGCGCCTAGCACGGCGATCGCTACATGGATGTGCTTGAATGAAGTAGCTGCATGGTCAACACGATTGATAAGGTAGCGAGTTCCACAACGAAATAACTTGAAAGGTGCTGTTGAGAGTATCGTAGTGCCTGGTCATACCCCCGAACAAGCTAGCCAGCGACTGACACGCTGCGGTCGCGGTGTAGCTACTAACTTCCGGTCGATGAAGACGGGGCCGGGCCACGCGTGGTTACGAAGCGGACAAAACGTTAATTTAAGGATCGAACAAATAATTAGCTGCCACTATTACACAAGCTCTGTTAAAGTGCTAGGACAGTATTACTCTGTTTGTTCTATTCTATGGAGGGTGCACTAAAACCCATTTATGTAGAGCTTGATTTTTTTTTTTGCAATAGCTAACGTAATGTCGTCGAGATTGTTGAAAGCCTCCGGGTTCAGTACGCTAAATGCACCGTCTGGTGAGCGCCAGCGCCTAGTACGGCAATCGCTACATGGAAGGGCTTGAATGAAGTAGCTAGCTGCATGGTCACACACGATTGTAGAGGTAGTCGCGTTCCATCCACAACGAATATAGCTTGAAAAGTGCTGTGAGTATCGTAGTGCTGGTCAGACCGCCCGACAAGCCACCACGCTGCCGGTCGCGTGTAGCTACTAGACCTTCCGCGTCCGGTCGATGAGAACGATCGTCTCGTTTTCGGGGCGAGGCCGCTATGGCTGGCGCCACTGAGCGCGCGGGCGCATTGTGCCGGCCGCGTCCGTAGCTCGCCTTTTCTTCTATGCTTGGGGTATATGCTAAGTTGACTCTAGTTTGGTCGTATCGTAGCGCAATGTGGTCGCAAGTCGTGTGGGTTGTTTTTTCGCTCTACTTTCTGAGACAGTTCATGGCGGTCCAGCCGAACCATCCGTTGGTGAGAAGGTTACTGCAATCTCGCTAATTTTTCAAAACCCAACAGATGGTTGCACTGATGGAGACGTAAGACCGGTGAGTGGTACGAGGCGCGATGGACAGCTGGCAACGGGGGATATTGCGGGATCTATTGAGATCTGCGAGAATCAGCTCTGGAAAAAGGTTGTCTTGTGCCTCCATCATGAGCAGTGGACAATGGAAACTACCGCAGTTGCCTGCAGAGAACTAGGATATACTGCTGGAGGTCAGGGAGGATTAGATAGAGCTAACAAGTACGCGCGCGTAACGAGTGACTGAGCGAGAATGATTAGCTATAGGTTACTCTTCTTTCTCTGTAGATGCATTTCCAGTGGTAAGGCAGGTGACGGAATCAAGTAGGAGACTGTCATACATGCCTCAGTGTGTTGGTGAGCAAAGTGGCAGTTGTGATGCTCCCGTGGTGATCAGGTGCTCTATGAGCAGCTCTAAATCCACAACTCAACTGTCTTCCACTATGACCGCTCCCAAACTGTTAGCGTCATCAACCAGCAAACCTGTTCCAGTCCAACATTCGTCAACTTATAATGCCACAATGTTTAAACCCCAGCCCTCTGCAACAAAGGCATCTTCCACTGCCACCTACAGTTTTGTTACGGATTTGTTCCCTTCTTCCTCTACCAATTCTTCCTCTGCCACTTCTTCCTCTCCACTTTATGATGTCCCTGGAGCTGTGGGTGTGGCAGTCGGAGGTCTGGTGGTTCTTCTTCTCGCAGCAGCCGTGACGCTTCTTGTCCTTCTTCTACTCTGCAGAAAGAAAAAGAAGTTTCTACCTCAGCCTGCGGTGTATGACATGGTCCTCCCTGTGTCACCTTGCACCAGAAATACTCTTGCTCAGCCCTATGAGGTTCCAGTCTCAAATAGGTCGAGGAATTACTCCAATTCTCAAGAGACCGAGTGTTTCACACCTACAGCTGGCCAGCCACCCTTTAATGATGGACGATATAACAGACTTATTCACTTTCCAGCTTCCAACTCTACGGTCACTGCCAGTTTCATGTGTGCTTCAGTCAACCTTGAGAGAGTGATGCCTTCTTCGTTCCAAGCCCATCAAAGCAGGGGCCAATCCTCCAAGGGGAAGTGTCCCATCTACCACAATGTGGTCATCTCGAGAAAAAGTGCAGCAGAGTACCAATACAATGTTCCATCACAGCACCAATACGACACTCTGGGAGAAAAAGTGGCTGATGACAAATGTACTGCTCTAGAGAGACCAACACAGAAAGCAACAAAGATCTTTGACGGAAAGAGTGAGTATGACGTTCTCGAGCCTCAAAAGACTAGATTGTAGTGGCACTACTGTGACCCTGTGAACCATTATTTATGGTGACCGTCGCTCATTAGCATGAGCCTAGCTTATTTCTTCCCGACATATAAGCCCGTTATGTCTTTGCATCTTGTTCCATTACTGTGTATCCTCAAATGTTATCTCATTGGCGAACACTAAGCCAAGTTACTCTTCCCTCGCCCACCACTGACTACAAGTGGGTGGAACCTATAGTTTACTTACCCCACACGGTGTTGCTTACAGATAGCCAGACATAATATAAACAACTGGTGGGGGTCTACCACCCATAACCTTCATTAGACCGCAGTCACGCGCAATTGACCAATCAGATTACAGAATTGCGGGGGGTTTATTTTTCATAGACACCTCGTTTCAGGTGTCTATGGCGTTTGCAGGTGGTCTACAGCAATCTCCCCGTACAAAATGGCTATTCTCAAAAGTCGTTATCTGCGCAAACTGGCCGATTCCGCGTTCGGTATATGTAAGCGTAGAAGGCGCGACTGGCAAAGTAGCTCTTTTAAAATGCGTAGTGCACCTGCAAGAAGTCTGTGGGACAGTCTCCGGAGCTCGCGAAAGTCAGAAATCACGTCAGTATCCACGAAAAAAGCGTCGGCTTCTTCAGCTCTGGCGATACACAAACACATTGGGCCGTTGCCGTGCGTTGCTAAACCCTTTCAAACGCGCACCACCAATGAGGGCGTTTTATGATGACGTAAACGATTTTTGACGGGGGGCGGGGGCTGTCTCTCGGAGTCTCACACGAAAGCGTCTTGTTCCATCCGAAGGTAAGGAATGAGGAATGAGCGCAGCGTTGCTAGCTGTTGCTACCCATTTGAACGCGCAAACACCAATCAGATACTCCGGTCTAAACCGGTTAGACGCAGAAGCTCGGTTGTCTACGCAACATTGCAACCCTCGGGGCATGTGGGTAGCGCCCCTCGCTGCGCTCGGGGACGCAACATTCCACACAAAGCCCCTCGGGTGCAATGATAGCGTAGCACCATGCACGCGCTTCCTCCGCGTTCTAACCTATATGTAACACAACCGCGATGGGGAGTTACGTTTACACACTAAGCCCCACAAAACACAACTAACATCACAACAAGAGATGTAAAAATACGCAGGAGGTTGCAGGAATGCTCGATGTTGCGATTGCATGGAACGCCAAACCAAACCTACCAAAATTAGAATGCGAAGTCGGTGTCGAAGTCCCAACCCCTCGGTCAACCCTACTTATTACTTGTTCAAAGTAGGATTGTCGAAGTGCCAACCCTAGCTACTTATTACTAGGATTTAGACCGACAGACCGAATTTGAAGTAGGATTTCAGCCTACTTCGAAACTCTTGATCATTCGTGCCAGCTTCGCTACGAAGCTACCTATCGTTGAAAGCCACATCACTGCACTTTTTACCTATAAACTGAACATGAGACTTTTGTTTGATATGGCTTTGCCTGAATTCAAGCTTGATGTACTGGGATGCCATGCCGCTCGCTACGCACGCATGCGCGCCGACCGTTGGGGTGCTTTACTAAAGGCATTTCGCCAGACCCTCTCTTTTCGCGTTAGGGTGTGGCTTGCAAGACTGCCTTGGAACGAAGCTAGCGTCTCTGTAGACACTTACTCCCGGTGTGCAGCCGAATCATGCATTCTTACGCACTGAAGTGGATGTGCATGTGCGGTACGCTAATTGATGGTTGGGCCAAGAGTATGCGGTCTCCACGCTAGTAGCTCGCGGAGAGTCTGACACGGGATAGCTACACTAGTAAGTAATGGTTAATGAACGCCGGGGCGCCTCCCGCGCATGCACCGAGACGATGCGCGCACGCGACGTGTGGGATCGCTCGCATGCCAGTGTTCTCCCCTGCGACTCACCACAATAAATTTCGCTACTGTACAAATTTCTCCTAGCGCCTCAGTTGAGAAAGGTGTGCCTCCTGGCCTAAAACAAGTTCTGATGAACGCCCAAAGAAACAGCTAGGTGAGGAATAAACGGATTAGTTTTTCCGGTGTAATTCTCCGCCCATAAGTCGTTAGTGTCGCGACCGTCTGCTGAGCCGAGCCGGCTATAGATATTACAGCGGGGGACCATCTATGTTTATCCCACCATCTCCATCGAGAGTGAGCATGTACAACAACACGAAGATACTTTTGGTACTGTTGACACTACTACCAGGTAAGCATGATAAAAGTTCAGGAGGTTGCCGGTGATCAGGACAACCATTGTTCCAGGTTTTACTGTTAGCATCAACCTATCATCTACTCAAGATGGCGAAGGAGAATGTCTCAGAGATGTTCTGATCTTTAGATGTACAGTGACTGGAGCTGGGACACTTGAGTGGTATCTGGGTACTGTTCGTGTGAGACGCTTTACTGTACTGGATGAACCAGGGAGTGAACCAGGCCCAGGATCATTACCTGATGTGGCTAACGTCACTCTGGTCAATGTAGACAAAGACCCAACACATCCACTGTTAGGAAACCTCACTTCTGACCCTTGCTGTGGTTGTTAGCAATGATAATATTGGGAAATATGTGAACTGCAGTAATTCCCAAAAAAGCCAAGAGATTCTCATCAAGAAGCAATGTAAGTGCTCAACATGCTGATAATGCTGCATGATTATTTTGCGTTTGTTATCTACTACAGTGGTACAATTACCAATTGTCATCAAGGAAAACATCACAGGTGGTATTGGTGAGTACTCATTCAGACTGCAGTTACTGGAGGAATATGTCGATTTCAGACACGAGTTTGTGGATGGAGGCAGAATGATGTCGTTTCTCAGAATAACTGGCTCTTTACTCAACACATCAGTTCAGATTTGGACTCCAACATTCACAACTATAATGTGACCATACATGTGGAGGCAATTTACTCATTGCAGAGTTGTAGAGATCGGCAAGATTGTATACAAAGTTTCAATCTTCTCCACTACATGACTAACTCACAACAGCTCCCCCGTATTACTGGAAATGGATATATGAATACCCAGAATTATGAAATTTTTGCAGAACCGGAGGGACCAACTTCCTCAGTGACTTACACCAATACCTACAGTTTCACTCTGCCACCATCTTACACTGGTTTCTACATAGCTGTCCAGGACATTGGGTCATGTATAGCTCTATCAAGACTGAGAGTCTACCGCAACAATTGTAAATCTCGTCAAGTTGGGCTGGTCCTGTATCCCGATACCCCCTGCACCAGTGTCTGACAATGTAGATGTTGCTATTTCTTGTGCCGAGAGAGCTTTCACATGTACTAGCAGTGGAACGTGGGGTACCGAGTGTCAATGTAAATGTGGATATATGGAAATCACACAGGTCACTGGATGTATAGGTAAGGATGCTTCCTTGTTATCGTTGTTCATAATACTCATTTACTTAGTCTTAGTCTTAAAACTCTCATTTACTTAGTCTTGAAAGCATGTGAGGCTGGTGAGTATCGATCAGAGGAAGACACTGTGTGCCAGAAATGCCCATCCAATACCATTGGGACTCGGCGAGCTGCTTGTGCCTGTCCATGCTTAGATGGCTACTTCAGAAACACAGAGACTCTCACTCGGCCTGAAGCCCTCCAGTATGTCGGAAACTCCAGTGAGAAGCCTGGCAACATGTGCACCAGTGAGTCCAATGCAAACAGCAGCCATAACAAACAGCAAACAGCACGGGGGGCTCTTAACCAGGTCTCCGTCTGGCTCTTCCTGCCTTGCAACTCCCAACATCTACACACAACGTTGTTAATATTCTTTCAAAATTCTTAAATCTAGGACACTCCTGTACTCTATTTTAAGCAATTGAGGTTTTCTCTTTTGTTGCAGAACCTCCTTAACTTAAGACCTTCAAAATTCTTAAATCCAGGACACTCCTGTACTCTATTGCTTGAAAACAGGTTTTCTTTTTTGTTGCAGAACCTCCCGGTGCTCCTCGGGACCTGGATATTGTAGCTGTATCTCCAAATGACATTGAAATAAACTGGAAACCTCCTAGGGATGATGGTGGGAGGACAGACCTCTACTATCAAGTGGAGCACAGAGACCCAGACAATCTGGGATCCTACACGGGGACAGTCTACCTGGGAGGGTGGTCGTACAACCACACGTTCACTAGTCTCAGAGCACTCACTCAGTACTGCGTCAGAGTGACTGCCTACAATGGAGTCAGTGACCAGGACCCTGGTGGAGCACCACTGAGGGCCGTGGAAGCCTGTGTTAGAACACCTGGGAACCTGACTACTAGTAAATTCAGTGTAAAACTAACTCTTGACAATAATAAATGGGTTGTGTACGAGTTAAACTACTACTGCAATAGTATATTACCAGGGGTAAGTTACTCTCTCTGTGCGAAACTGTGTCTGAATTTATAAGTTGGTGTATGCTGTGTGACTCTTGTGTGTTTGCTCGCCATGCATTCATTCTGAAATGTTCAAACCACAGCCTCAGATGCCTCAGATGCGTGTGGAATGTTTGGCTGTCAGCTCAGTGCTGGTGCTGTGGCCGCTATTTTGAGCAGTGGAACTATCCTCCTCTTCCTCCTAGTGTGCTTCATAGTAGCTGGTTATGTGCTAAGAAGACGACGAAGAAAATCAATCGTGTCTGAAGAGCTTAGGTAAGCGTATTATTTTACATAGAGCTCTTGAACATTGAAACCACTGCTACAGGTCACCTACTGGAAATTCTTATTCCACACCTCAAGAGTTCACCAATCCATCCAAAGGTATTAATAAACCAAGTTGCAGCACTAGTACGTGATAGTTGATACTTTTAGTCACAGATGATAATGTACAGAAACCAGTGGCATCTCCAGTGCAGCAACTTAAAGAGGAGCTCAAGAACAAGAACATGCTATTCTCCAACAGCCAGTTGGAATTGAGCAGAGTTGTTGGACAGGGTGAGAGAAGGAGCCAGCCTCAAGTGCATTATTTTACAAACTCTTTGCTCCCGTCACAGGAGAGTCGGGATTAGTGTATCGTGGATACCTCAGAACAAGTGAAATCAAAGACTTGGTCGCAATAAAGACTGGCAGAGGTAAAATATAATCATTTATTAAAGAAAACAACCTAATTTTAACTCTGATCTTGCCATACTGGTAAGGGATGACACAGGTTATCCAGCATAATACCCATACATTTGAGATTTCACATTTACTTTGGCTATCTATAGCTCTATTGTCGATGGACCACAAGGAAAGACTGCTGAAGGAAGTCATTCTCATGCTCACCTTTGATCATCCTAATGTTATGCCACTAATTGGACTCTCCTTTGATGGAGAGATGCCCCTCATCGTTATGCCGTTCATGTCAAAGGGCAACATTCTTGGGTACGTGAGAAATCACAGAGAGAGTCTCTACTTTAAAGATCCCAGTGATCACCAGGAAGTGAGAGACTGTCTTACAACTTCCTTCATTATGAGCTGTTAGCTATTATTCCGCAAAGGTTGAAGCTGCCAGGAAGACGTGTCTTGGGATGTGTTACCAGATATGCAAGGGAATGTCGTATCTTTCAAAGTTTAAGTTTGTCCATCGGGACCTGGCTGCAAGAAACTGCATGTAGGTTACATTTCATCATGGAACTGGTGCTTCTTTATACATGCATAATGCTATTCACTGGCAGTTAACTTACTTCTTAAAACGGCACAATATTCTCTTCCAGGATTGATGATAATGACATAATCAAGGTATCAGACTTTGGGCTGACAGAGGACATGTACAGCACGGCCTACTACCGTCACGACGGATGTGAGACTGGAACTGAGGAGAAGATACCAATCAAATGGATGGCTCCTGAGAGTATTGAATCTAACATATTTGATGAGAATACAGACGTAGTGAGTTCAAACCCATCAGAGACCTTTACTTATATACATGTCCCATAGTTAGAATCCTGGCACATCCTTGAGATTAGTACTGTGGTGTAGCGTGGCCATAGTGAATGGTCTGGCTGGTCTGTTGTTTGCTGTTGGACTGCTTTTTAAAACCTATTGTTCACGTGGCACATGTGTAAACTCATGCGATTCCACTGGCTGAAAGAATGAGGACTGGACTGAGGAGTAGCAACAGATCGCTAAATCACATGCAATCAATTTGGACAGTCTGTCACAATTTGAAGTCTGGAGAACCAGATTTAGGGATTGTGTCATATGGTAGCTACTTGCATTTCCTTCATCATGCTTCTAAACTTCCCACTGAGCAAGAGTGTTTTACCATAGTGGTCATTTGGAGTGACGTGTTGGGAGGTGTTCACATGTGGAGGAGTCCCGTATGCTGGGGTCCCAGTCACCACTCTACTGAGTGAGCTTTTCTCTGGACACAGGCTGGACAGACCCAGCAACATCACCTGCTCTGATGATGTGTAAGTGGACCAGCAATTACACACACATAGAGAGAGCCCGTGAGAAACTTAGCTATACCTCTACAGATGGGCATTGATGACATCATGCTGGTCAGCCAGTCCACAGGAGAGGCCAATGTTTGCCACACTGGTCAACAACATTGCTGATCTTCTCGACAACGACCCCGCCTACATAAAACTTCGAAATTAAACTTAGCTATTACTTTTGTGTAAGCTAACTGTTCAACAGTAATATTGATCTCTATTCAACTTGTGAGCAGAGTTTTTCGTTTCAAAATAATGAAGGAAGCATGCAATTAGCTGGACTAGCTGGAATGACTTTTTAGCTTGTTTGAAACCCCAATGTTAAGGCACATATTTTTACGCAACGAGCAACGACTGGAGACCAGGAATAAACCGCACTACAATAATCGAATATTATGAAGGCGTGGCTTCGCGACGCGCGCGCAGACGGATTGTCGGTGGACCCGCCTGTAGCTAAAGGAAGGAGATGATTACCTGCTTCAGTGGCTTTCGTGGATTTACTTTTTTGTTACATATATTTTCTGTTGTGTAAAGCTACAAACTCTGAAGGTCCATGTCTAATGTATTTGAGTTAGTCCTATTGGCTAGTATATTAATACAGAATGGCTCAGACCACGTAGTGGTTATTTTCTGTCCCTCTCAGCTCTGACATCCAGTTTAGCAGGCAGATCGTGCCTCAGCAGTAAATGAGTGCCACACCTTAATTAACATGTGCTCCTCACTTTTAAAGCATGATTGGGCGAGATATCAGCATAATGCCACTGCATCGTACTCACTATATCCTACGACACAATACTCATGGTGTGTTGTAGAAAACTTAGCTACTACTGTTAATTAACCAATGTACATTATTATTGATCTGCTATTGTCAACTTGTGAGCAGTTTCCGTTTCAAGTAATGAAAGCATGCAATTAGCTGGTCACTGCAGCTGGCACGTAGCTATCAGAACATAGAAATGGACTTTTTGGCTTGCTTGAAACTCCAATGCTAAGGCACATTTTTCTACGCAGCGATCAACGACAGGAGACCACGATAAACCTCACTATAGCGGATCGAAACGAACTTCATATTATGAAGGCGTGGCTTCGCGACGCGCGCGTAAACGGGATTGTCGGTGGACCCGTAGCTAGCTACGATTGAAGAAGGAGATGATTACCTGCTTCAGTGGCTTTCGTGGATTTACTCTTTTGTTACATATAATGTCTGTAGTGAAAGCTACAAATTCTGAAGGTTCATGTAATGTATTAGAGTCAGTCCTAATGGCTAGTATTTTTCTGTCCCTCTCAGCTGATCTGACATCCAGTTTAGCAGGCAGATCTGCATGTGCCGGGGAGAATGTGACCTTGACTTGTGTTGTACTAGACACTGGAAGTTTGACCTGGGTCATTGGATCAAGCGACTAACACTATTGTCTTTGACCTGGCAGATGATTCATCTCTCACCACTCAGACTGACTCCACTGGCCAGTTCACTGCCTCTCTGATACACTACTCTCGAGACAAGGACTACTTCTTCCTCGGAAACTTGACTTCAACACTTCACACACGAGTAGATCCGCTCCTTACTGATTACCCCGTCACTGTTCTCTGCAATGATGGGATCACAGAAATGATTCCTTCATCAACAATAAAATTGCAGGTAGCTAGCAATACCTACTCCAATTCATTAACTAATGTCAAATCCAAATGGTTATTAGAGTCTCCCTCCCCTCCCTGGAACCTGACATCATCAGTGGTGTATGGAATATCTCAGTATTCACTGGTAGTTGGGTGGGAGAGCCCACGAGATGATGGAGGAGTGGAGATTGACAACTACACCCTCTCTCTCTACCAGGAGGACCAGACTGTGGTCCAGACAACTACTGAGTCTCTGGAGCTACCTCTCTCACTGGACTACTCCACTGTCTACTCCATCATCATCACTGCCAACAACTGTGCTGGCTCCAGCTACCCTGTATCTCTGACTAGCATGGAGGGTGAGTTTATCGGAATAATGTTTGTCTTTTTCTCACTGAGTAGCATGAAGGGTAGCTATGATCATTGGGTAATCCGTATGGAAATTATTACCTAACCCTAGCTGGCTGCAGAGCTCCGTCATCTCCAGTCAATGGTAGTATTGAGGAGTACAGGAGTACAGAGGAGGGAGCAGAGATCCAGTTCCACTGTCATGATGGATACACTCCTAATGGTTGGATGTCATCTCAATGTCTCAACTCATCATGGTCCCCTCACCCAATGGACCTTGTCTGTGTCTTAACACCACCACCTAAACCACAAAGTAATGTCTATTGTTTTGTTTGCCTTTCCTTCACTGACCACAGAAAGCATTCATAGCAAACCTCAGTGTGTTTTAAAAACACTCTTTGGGAACTGTGTTATCGTCTGTTTTTGTCTTTATAGACAAGAATTGTTCATTGAGGGACTTGTCTCCCTCTCTGGTTGAGGAGAACAGAGTGTGTGGGTCAGTGAGTGGTGGTGGGGTGTGTTACAGTGGAGACAGTGTAGGATCAGTGGCAGTCTACTTCTGTGATGATGGCTATAGTCTAGAGGGAGACACTACCAGAGAATGTCTCTCTAGTGGCCTCTGGAATGGAACCACTCCTCAATGTGTGGAGACAGAAGGTATGTCTTTTTTGCTGTTATGAACGTTGGCCTAAACACTTTACGTTTACCTTAGAATGTATCTGTGATGATACTGGCAGCAGTTCAGGGGTTAATGAACCAGCAGTTGTTGGCAGTATTGTGTGCAGTCTTGCTATTGGAGTTCTACTGGGAGTGGTGGGACTGTACCTCATACAGAGAGTGAGGGCCAGGATGTCTGGCCCCACCTCCTCCCTCTCCCCCTCCCCTCCCTCCACCAGTCACCTATGAGGAGGTGGGTGTGGCAAGAGAGGTCAAGAGTTCACAAGACATTCAGCTGACCTCCAATGAGGCATATTGGCAGAAGAAGGAAAACATTCCCACATCACGTAACACAGCATATGGACACGTACAGCTTGGAACCTCAATACTCTTTAGCTAGAGTAGTTAAATGAAATTTGTATAGCAACAATATCACTATATAATTAAATTGCAACCACGTGCCTCAGCAGTAAATGAGTGCCACACCTTAATTAACATGTGCTCCTCACTTTTAAAGCATGATTGGGCGAGATATCAGCATAATGCCACTGCATCGTACTCACTATATCCTACGACACAATACTCATGGTGTGTTGTAGAAAACTTAGCTACTACTGTTAATTAACCAATGTACATTATTATTGATCTGCTATTGTCACTTGTGAGCAGTATTCCGTTTCAAGTATGAAAGCATGCCAAATAGCTGGTCACTCGCAGCTGGCACGTAGCTATCAGAACATAGAAATGGACTTTTTTGGCTTGCTTGAAACTCCAATGCTAAGGCAACCATTTTTCTACGCAGAGCGATCAACGACAGGAGACCACGATAAACCTCACTATAGCGGATCGAAACGAACTTCATATTATGAAGCGTGGCTTCGCGACGCGCGCGTAACTGGATTGTTCGGTGGACCGTAGACTAGCTACGATTGAAGAAGGAGATGATTACCTGCTATCAGTGGCTTTCGCTGGATTTACTCTTTTGTTACATATATGTCTGCTAGTGAAAGCTACAAATTCTGAAGGTTCATGTAATGTATTAGAGTCAGTCCTAATGGCTAGTATATTTTCTGTCCCTCTCAGCTGATCTGACATCCAGTTTAGCAGGCAGATCTGCATGTGCCGGTGAGAATGTGACATTGACTTGTGTTGCACTACTAGACACAGGAAGACTGACCTGGGTCATCGGATCAAGTGATAACACTATTCTCTTCAACCTGGCGGATGATTCATCTCTCACCACTCAGACTGACTCCACTGGCCAGTTCACTGCCTCTCTGATACACTACTCTCGATACAACGACTACTTCTTCCTCGGAAACCTGACTTCAACACTTCACACACGAGTAGATCCACTCCTTACTGATTACCCCGTCACTGTTCTCTGCAATGATGGGATCACAGAAATGATTCCTTCGTCAACAATAAGAATTGCAGGTAGCTATCAATACCTGCCCCCTTCATAACTAATAGCAACTGTTTTAGAGTCTCCCTCCCCACCCTGGAACCTGACACCATCAGTGGTGTATGGAATATCTTCAGTATTCACTGGTATGTTGAGAGAGAGCGAGATGATGGCGAGTGGAGATTGAAAAATAAAAAATAGATCATATAAAAGAGGGAGGAGAAAAGAATGTTGACCTGTGGTCGGACTGTGATGTGCCCCTGAAGGTGCTTATGTGTGGTGTGAAATGGAATGAGTTGTGGTGAATGTTGGGTGTGTGAGTGGAGGGTGAGTATAGGTGTTGATGTGTTGAGTGAAAGTGAACGTGTGGTTGTGAAGCGATGGGAGTGAAGGTTCGCGTGTTGTATGTGGAGTGTGATTAGAAAACCATGTGATTGACGTTGTTCGTTGTGAAATGCGATGTGTGACAATTGTGGATGTGACTGATGATACTTTCGTGGGTTGATGTTCAGACTGAGCGTTGGAACAGGAGGACCGGGGGCTGCGGGAGTCGGTGCAGGGGGGGGGGGGCCGTCTGAGGCATGTTCGAGGGCGGCTCCTCGACAACCTTCTGATCCCTGTGAACAGTCCATGCACTTTTGTCAGGGTGGAGTGTGTTTGGTTTGGAGTATGTGACTTGTCATTGACTCTTGGTCTTTGTATGACTTGGTGCTGTGGCTGGACGCCGCACGAGGAGTCCCGCGCGACCGGGCCGCAGGAAAGCCCGGGGGGCCTAGGCGGGGGACTCGATGACCCCGCGGTGATGTGTGGTGTGTGGGTGGGGTTTTCTGTGGGGCGTGTTGTGGCTGATGTATTGCCGCCCATGCGCATGTGGCTGGTTGCTGTCTTGTCATGTGCAGTCCTTTAGTTTTTCGTTTTGGTGCACTATGTTATGTGGACCAATGTGGTGGGGCGAGGCGGGGAGGGCGGGAGGTCGCGGGCGCGGGGCGCGACGCGGGGGGTGGGCTGCCGGCGGGTGCTTGCTGCGGGGTGGGATCCGTTGATTTGAGTGTGTGGTTGGGGTTCTTTTTGCTGCTTTTGTCTCTCGCTGTGTTGTGTGGTGATGAAGTTGACTGGGTAGTGCCTTGCCGGTTGATTTTTTCTCGCCCTGGGTTCCTGTCCTGTGTT